AGACAAGTACCTTATGTATTCACTCATATGTGGACTCTAACGAACAAAATGAACTAACAAGCAAAATAGAGAGACTCAGAGACGGAGAGCAGGCTGACAGCTGTTGGGGTGGGGTGAGGCTGGGTGGCAGGGGTGGAGGGATTGAACAAAAAAATAAACACCTCATGGACATGGAGAACAGTGTGGTGACTGCTAGGGGGAAGAGGAGGTGGAGGAGAGTACAGGGGATACATGGTGATAGATGGATACTTGACTTGGGGTGGTGAATGCACAATACAGTGTACAGATGATATGTTGTAGAATTGTGCACTTAAAACCTGTATAATTTTGTCAAGCAGTGTCACCCCAATTAAGTAAATAAAAGAAAAAAGAAAAAAGAAATATTCTGATTCTCCAGTCAGAATAAGTCTTTTCTTTAGAAAGACATCACTGACTCCATAACTACTTGTCCTTCCTGGTACTTAACACTAATGGTTTTTGTTTTGGTTTGTTTTTTTTTTCCAATTGTTCATTTAATATGTGTGCTTCTTGCTAGACTATATCCTCCATGAAGACAGCAGTACCTGTCTTCTTCACTGGTATCCTAGCATGTATGGTTTCAGACATAAAAATATTTATAAGATTATGACAGCAAAATAGAACAAAGAGTGATGAGGAACAGAAATGGACCAAATTAAAAAGAGAAAAGATGAACATGTAGGGACCCAAATATGGCAGTTAACATAGGACACTAAAGGGAAAAAAAAAAAAGATGAGAGAGAACTGGCCTGTGTAAAAACGATTAAGAAAATAATATTTTTCTAGTTTAAAACAGCATCTATGCCTGAGCCTGAGTTGTACCACCCAGCAAAGACATGAAAGGAAGCCACACTCAAAGTGGAACAAGCTCAGCTTATCACACAAGGATATGAAGGTTCAGACTGCATGTCTTCAAGGAAATGACAGGGTTATTTAAGCTCTTATTAGTATATCCTGTGTTTCTCCTGAATGTAATCCTATCTAATAAAGAGGGAATATGCTAATTGACCCTCACACCATTGCAAAGATGGCGGCACCCACAGCCAATAAGGAGGTAATATGCTAATTGACTGCCCCGCCCTCAAAGATGGCGGTGCCCACAGCCACAAGATGGCGGCACCCAATCCCCTCAGCCCGCCTGCCTCCAGAGGCCCTCAGACCCCCAGCCGCCCAGCCGCCCAGGGCTGGCCTGTGACACAGGCAAGCCTCAAATGGAGGCTGCCCAGCTTCCCAGGGCCACCTGAGGCTCAGGTAACCAGGGCTGGCCGAGGTTTGCGCTGCTGGCAGTGGCAGCAGCAGAGGTGTGATGGGGGCGTCACTTTCCCTTGATCGCCAGGTCGCCTCCCACCCCTGAGGGCATCGCCTTCCCCTGATCGCCGGATCGCCTCCCACCCCGGACTGTGAGAGGGGGCAGGCTGGGCTGAGGGACCCCCCCCCTCAGTGCATGAATTTTCATGCACTGGGCCTCTAGTATAGTTATGTTTGTCGATATACCCATTAAAGTGAATGCTCAGACTAGAAAGAGATATAGTCAAGTAAATGTTGGCTTTTTGTATTTCAGACAGATACATACCAATAATATTTAGCTATGCTAATCATTGAAATTTTAAAGTAAATAATTCAACTCTGAATTCTCTCTTCCTCCAGTTAGACCAACAGTTCTGTTTTCCTGCAGAGATGGGATTAGCCTTCAGAAGGGCATCATGCCTCTACCAGAAGTCACATCACTTTGATAAGTCAAGGCATTTTAGCTCCATCTCCCAGAAAAGAGTGCTAATCATTTGAGAACTACAATGGATGACCCTCAACCTCAATAAGCAGTGAAATGATTCCCACTGACTCATGCACATGATGTCATATGCAACTTGATGATGATTTTTTCTTAATGACGAATGTGAAATTATTCTACTTTTTCTTTGCATCTTCTGGAAGGCAATAAAATTAAAAGGTATAACTAAAAAAGAAGACATATATAACCTATAGTTTCTATAATCTGAAGTTATCTAAAGATACATGTCCAAAAAATTATAAGAAGTACATTTAAGGAGAAGAGTTAAGTAATAAAAAGCTCTGAAATAAATATTTTTTGTTAATAAGTAATCTTATATTTACGATGTAGGTGAAGGCTTATAGACAAATAGAAAAAAGGAAGGAATGAATAAATGGATTGGCATTTCCCTCCTAGAGTGTATGTTTTCTGCCAACAGAATTATCTTTGTCTTTAAACATATCAGCTTAGTTGAAAAGAGCAGAGAGTCAGAGCCTGCTCTATAATTTAATTATCAGAGATAATCACCGCTAATACTTTGGTATATAACATTTCACACCTTATGCATGAAATATGGTTATGTAATATGCAGGCTGTTCAGTATTCATGATAGCCACAAGGAGAAAACAACCCAAATGTCCATCAACTGATAAACTGCGACACATCCACACAATGGAATATTATTCAGCAATAAAAAGAAATGAAGAATTGACACATGCTACAACATAGGTGACCCTTGAAAAGACTGTGCTGAAAGAAACCAGTTACAAAGACCTTATGTTATATGATTCTAACCCCATGAAATGTCCAAAACAGGCAAATCTATAGAGATACAAAGTAGCTTAATGGTAGCTTAGGAATGGGAGGTGGGACAGGGTATCACTACTAATGGGTATAGGGGGAACAAAAATGTTCTGAAATGAGATTATGATAAAGCTGTGAAAATACTAAAAAAATTGATTGTACACTTTAAATAAGTGAGTTATATGGTATGTGAATTATATCTCAATAAAGCTAGTTTTTAAATAAGCAAAAATATTTACACAGGCAACTGCTTCATCCCCTCTTTGCAGTATAATAGATATAGAAACCTTATTCCATTTCAATAAGATATGCAACTATACTGTTATGTGTGAGTGTACAATGTTCTACTATATTGATATACTGATATTTACTTATCTAGTGCTTTATTAGACTAGAGGCCCAGTGCATGAAATTCGTGCATGGGAGGGGATCCCTCAGCCTGGCCTGCACCCTCTCCAATCCAGAACCCCTCGGGGGATGTCTGAATCCTTGCGGGATCGGGCCTAAACTGGCAGTCGGACATCCCTCTTGCAATCTGGGACCACTGGCTCCTAATCACTTGCCTGCCTGCCTGCCTGATCTGATCACCCCCTAACTGCTCCCCTGCCAGCCTGGATGCCCCCTAACTGCCCCCCAGCCAGCCTGGTCGCCCCCAAACTGCCCCCCCTGCTGGCCTGGATACCCCCTAAGTGCCCCCCGGCTGGCCTGGTCGCCCCCTAATTGCCCCCCTGCTGGCCTGGTCGCCCCCTAACTTTCCGGAAGGAAGTTGGACATCCAGAAGATGTCCGGTTGAACTGGTCTAATTAGCATATTACCCTTTTATTAGTATAGATAGGAACTTATTTCCAATTGCTGCATTAAACACCCATGTATGCATACATCTTTGCACACCTGTCTATTTCTATAGAAAACAAAAATTAAAACAAAAAATATAACTGCCCTCCCCTGCAGGCCTGGTCGCTCCCAACTGCCCTCCCCTGCAGGCCTGGTCTGCCCCAACTGCCCTCCCCTGCTGGCCTGGTTGCCCCTAACTGCTCTCCCCTGCAGGTCTGGGTCCCCCCAAACTGTCCTCTCCTACAGGCCTGGTAAAGGGTCTGCATTCAATCATACTGCCTGATGGTCCTCCAGAAAGGCCATAGTAATTTTTTAAAAATATACTTTTACTAGTGGCCTGGTGCATGAAATTCGTGCATGGGGGGTGGGTATGTGCGTCCCTCAGCCCAGCCTGCACCCTCTCCAATCTGGGACATCCCTCTCACAATCCAAGACTGCTGGCTCCCAACCACTTGCCTGCCTGTCTGCCTGATTGCCCCTAACTGCTTCTGCCTGCCAGCCTGATCACCCCCTAAACACTCCCCTGCCAGCCGGATTGACGCCTAACTGCTCCCCTGCCGGCCTGATTGCCCCCAACTGCCCTCCCCTGCTGGCCCAGTCACCCCTAACTGACCTCCCCTGCCGGCCTGGTCGCCCCCAACTGCCCGCCTCTGCTGGCCCGGTCACCCCTAACCTGCCCTCCCCTGCAGGTCTGATCGCCCCCAACTGCCACCCCTTGCAGGCCTGGTCCCTCCCAACTGCCCTCCCCTACTGGCCTGATCACCCACATCTGCCCTCCCCTGCCAGCCATCTTGTGTCCACATGGGGGAGGCCATCTTGTGTGTTGGAGTGATGGTCAATTTGCATATTGCCTCTTTATTTTATAGGATTGATTTCAGAAAGAAAGGGAGAGGGAGAGAGGGATAGAAACATCAATGATGAAAGAATCACTGATGGGCTGCCTCCTGCATGCCTCCTACTGGGGATCAAGCCCGAAAACCAGGCATGTGCCCTGATGGGGAATTGAACCATGACCTCCTGGTTCATAGGTTGACACTCAACCACTGAGCCACACTAGCTTGGCAAGGCCATACTAATAATTAACATTCATCCCAATGGAATAAATAATATTATTGTCTCTACATTCCCACCAATGCTGAGCATATCAAACTAATTAATCTCTGATAATGAGAGGTGACATAATTTTTTAAATGTGTATTTCTTTCATTATTGAATTTGAACACTTTTAGTCATTTGATTTGTCAATTTTTTATCATCTTTTTAATTTTTCTGACATATGCTACAAATTGTTCTCACCAATATGTCTTTTAGTTTTGCTTTATGGCAACTCTCTCCGTACACATTCTAACATTTTATATGCATAAATTTATTGTTATCTTTATGGCATCTGGCCTTAACACCTAGGCTTTTACCATCCTAATATCATAAAAATAACATCCTATATTTTCTTCTAGCACATGTCATATTACTTTATGTTTCATTTGAACAAGCCATCATTTCCTACTGATCTGCGATCCTGTGGCATTCTTAACTTCTTTAAGTCTGGCCTGTGAAATCTGTGTAAAGGATAACTTACCTAATTGCTGAGCCCATTTTATGGCAGTACCAGTGTCTCCTGCATTGCCTTCAGCTATGCATACAACCTCTTGTCCAATCTTCCACCCAATCAACGGATAAAAGCCTTAAAAACAAACAATGTAATTCATATCGTAAATGGATAATTCATTGCAGACATCTACAATAGAAAATTTTGATTAACTAATAAACTAGCAAAGTGGTTCTGAAGTCAGAATGGCTGGGGTCAAATCCCAGTCTTTCTTCCTTTACTAGCTGTGGTCTTAAAAGGTTCTAACTGCCCTGGACGGTTTGGGTCAGTGGATAGAGTGTCAGCCTGCAGACTGATGAGTAGGCAGGTTCGATTCCAGTCAAGGGCACATGCCTGGGTTGCAGACTCAATCCCCTGTGGGGGTGTGCAGGAGGCAGCCGATCGGCGATTCTCTCTCATCATTGATGTTTCTCTCTCTCTCCCTCTCCCTTACTATCTGAAATGAATAAAAATATATTTTTAAAAAAGTTTCTAACCTCTTAGCATCAGTTTCCTCAACTAAAATGGTCTACCTCAGAGAGCTCTTGTGAGCATAAACTGAGTTAATACATAAAGAGAACTTAGCACAATGCCTGGCACATTATAAATATTAGCTTTTATTAGCTTTGTACATCAATGTCTCTGGAAACACAGAAATAATATTTGAATTGAGAAATAAAAGGTTATTATGAAACTAGAGGCCCAGTGCTTGAATTCATGCACCAGTGGGGTCCCTTGGCCTGGCCTGTGCGATCGGGCCAAAACCAGCTCTCCGACATCCCCCAAGGGGTCCCAGATTGTGAAAGGGTGCAGGCCAGGCCGAGGAACCCCACCAGTGCATGACTGGGGCCAGGGAGGGACGCAGGAGGTTGGTCAGCCAGGGAGGGACCGTGGGAGGGCTCCAGGGCATGTCCGGCCCATCTCGCTCAGTCCTGCTTGGCCAGACCCCAGCAGCAAGCTAACCTACCAGTTGGAGCATCTGCCCCCTGGTGGTCAGTGCACATCATAGTGAGCAGTGGAACAGTCTTAGCATATCATTAGCATATTATGCTTTGATTGGTTGAACGGATGATTGAACACTTAGCATATTAGGCTTTTATTATATAGGATTGGTTAGCTGAGAACCATCTTGTCTATTGCATTTATCTGTGGTTTCTAAACAACGCTCCTAAGGTAAAACAACCTTATGCAATGATAAACATTTTGTAGCTTCTATTTTCCCAGTTAGGGGAAAAGGAACAGATTTAGTGGGGATGGAAGGTAGGAAAAAGATTTTCAAATCCACCTTTTAGTAACCATGTTAGGGCACTAGAGGTCAGACTAAGAGCCCCCAGCCATTCTGGGTATAGTTACACAACTGAAATTTCTTAATTTATACATCCCAAGATTTTTCCCATTAGGGAGAAAAAAATCTCAGTAATTGCCATTCATATGCAAGGATCACTAGTTGAGAACAACCACCTCAAAAAAATTCACAAAATTAAAATTATTTCTCACACATAAACAATACTTTAGAGGTTTAGAAAGATGTATTAAACACATATTATAAGTAAACTTTTAGAAAGCTAACCAAAATACCCTAATCCGTCTTAATTTTTCTATAACATCTCTCTCATTTTTCATGCTTTTAATTTAAAGATAAAGGAAAATGGGGATTGACTGTCTCTAAGAATAATAATTTAAAGTATGTTAGATAATATCCTTAATATAAAATGAGTAAATACTATCATAAAAGTTAAATTTTCAAAAAGTGATATTTTATTAATCAATAGGATAAATTCTAACTATTTACCTCCAACATTCTGTTGAGGGTTACTTCCAGTATTGATGTCCAGAAATGTCCCAGTCCCCATGGTCAGCTTCACGTCTCCCATCTGGAAGCAGCACTCTCCAAACATGGCTGCCTGCTGGTCGGCCACCTGCCAAAAATTCAAACAGAGACCTTGGAACCCTAGCTGTGGCTCATTTCACTGCATCCCACTGGCTCACTGAATGTATTCTCATGGTTCAGCATCTTCTCTTTTTTCCTTTTCCTTGAAAAAAAAAAGTTTGGAGAGAACAGGGAGCAATAACTATAGGTTAAGAATCTCTAGGATTAACTCTGGGCAGAGAACTAGTAGGCCTTAGCAATTTTTACTCAGCAACCTACTTCATGGGTTTTATGTATCATAGGAATAACCTTAGAAATAAAAGTCAGAATAAAAATTGTGCAAGAAAACCCCCCAAGATATTTTGTTTATATCTTATAAGCAGTTTCACTCAAAATAATTGACCTCACACATTTCTTTTAGCAAAAGTGACAGGTGTATGTTTAACTAGAAATAGATGTAACTCAATACCATACTTCTTCCAATGACACATTTTTGATAAAAGAAAAAGTATAACATTCTGTTAATATAGTTAAGTGTAGCTACATATACAGCAAAATTAATCTGACGAACACTTCTTACTAATCCTATAGTTTTCCCAGCCATACCTAAATCTAAACCTGAGCCTACCCCTAGACTGAATAATACTGATCCGCTGTAAATGAAAGGAATTTATAACTTGGGCATTATATTCCCCTTCCCTCGTTTCCTCTACCTACTGTGGTGACTGTCCATCTACGGACATGGTCTATACTTCTTGCTTAAGCCATTACAGGAAATCAAAGGCAAGATATAGACAGCCTCTCAATCAGGTGGTAAATCTTTGGGATTCTCCAAGTTATGAATCACTCATCCAGAGAGAAAGTAGAATCAAGAAAGAACCTTCAAACACCAGTAACAGCTAATTTTTCATTCTCCCATGAGTTTCTCTACTGGCAGATGCTGGCTAAAAACTTATAAAATGTAAATACAACTTCTTTAAGTGCCATATCATTGTTTATGGTTACACTGTCTTGAATATAAACTAAGCACTGGCCCTATTATTGTTGTTATATCTCAGAATATCAAATATAAACCAATATTACTCAGAATATAATATTTTTTAAAAATGTAACAGTTTCCTAAAAAATAATATATAGAGAAGTCAGAAAAGACTGTGAAGTGTTTAGCAGTCCTCTTTCCAGAATAGAGAAAATACTTTTGATTATATACAAGGTATAAAGAAAATAAAAAAGATGCTTTAATTTTAATCACAAGGATCTTTTTTATCTCATATCTAATCCCAACTATTCATATATATTCATTTACTTTATACTATACAAGGAGAAAACCTCAAATTTTCAACTTACCAAGGCCATTATTGGTATAGGCACACCAAATATCTCTTCATCCACTGATCCAAAATTGAAGCTTCAAATAAAATTGATTTAAAAGTAAGTTATAACTCTAGAAATGTTCATTTTAAAATTTAGGAAATGGTTTTTTAGCATAGGCCAAAAAGTTATCTATATATATAAAAGCCTAAGTGACATTCTGGTGGAATGACTGGAATGACCGGTCGCTATGACGCTCACTGAGCAGGCAGGCAGGTGAGTGGTTAGGGGCAAGCAGGCAGGCAGGCAGGTGAGTGGTTAGGGGCAAGCAGGCAGGCAGGCGAGCAGTTAGGGGCGAGTGGTCCCAGATTGCGAGAAGGATGTCCAACCCCGGTTTAGGCCCGATCCCCAGGATTGGGCCTAAACCGGCAGTCGGGCATCCTCTGAGGGGTCCCGGATTGCAAGAGGGTACAGGCCGGGCTGAGGGACTCCCCCACCCACGTGCACCAGGCCTCTAGTCCTATATAATAAAAGCCTAATATGCTAAGTGTCCTACTTGGACCAGTTGCTATGATGCACACTGATCACCAGGAGGCAGATGCTCCGACCAGTAGGTTAGCTTGCTGCTGGGGTCCAGCCGATCGGGACTGGGTGAGACAGGCCGAACATGCCCTGGAGCCCTCCTATGTTCCCTCCCTGGCCCTGATCGTGCACCGGTGGGGTCCCTCGGCCTGGCCTGCGCCCTCTCTCAATCCAGGACCCCTCGGGGGATGTCGGAAAGCCAGTTTCGGGCTGACCCCTGCAGACTAGGCCAAGGGATCCCACCAGTGCACAAATCCGTGCACCAGATTTATAACATATGTTCATAAAGTACCCCAAACATGTAAACCAAATACTTTTTAGTTTTAAATCAAATGCTTTTTCCTCACTAAGGCAAAATGAATTCAAGGACTATTTTGCTGGTTTCTAAGTCAAATGTTCATTATTACCTTGTATCCCTCACGGGAGGCAGGAGAGAGAGTGGTATTGAAAGCAGAGAAGTAATAAAGCTGCTCCAACACATCTGAACATAAAAATATATCATCAGAATCCAAATTAAATTACACAAAAAGTGATGATTCAAGAAGGAGGGAGAAAACCCTTTACCTCATATGGGTCAAAAAGTCCAGTGGTACTGGCATTTGAAAAATCCGTGGCAAATTCAGAACCTAAATTTACATTGGAAATAATCTTTTATTATCAGGTAGTGTAAACACTTATCTCTAGTTTATAATCTAGACCAGTGGTCGGCAAACCGCGCTCGAGAGCCACATGCGCTCTTTGGCCCCTTGAGTGTGGCTCTTCCAACCAAATTTTTTAAACTTAAACTATATAGGTAGGTACATTGTTATTAACTTCATTAGGGTACTCCTAACCTGGCCTTTGCTAAAAATATCCTCCATCTGTTTGAGGTATGTTCGCTGAGGTCGACCCCTTCCAACTCTCCCATCCACACTTGTGTTGTATACTTGTTTCAGATAGACGAGTGTGGATGGGAGAGTTGGAAGGGGTCAACCTCAGCGAACATACCTCAAAACAATGTACCTCCCCCGCGCTGCGTCTCCCGTCACCCGACCGACTGACACCCCCCACTTCTTGTAAAGCCACTTCTTCAAAATAGACTCGCCCAAGCCGAAAACCGACTTCTGCGCATGGGCACGAAGTTTCAATCTTACTGTATGTGTGCGCCCGCACATGGTATTTTGTGGAAGAGCCACACTCAAGGGGCCAAAGAGCCGCATGTGGCTCGCGAGCCGCGGTTTGCCAACCACTGATCTAGACCATTTATTTGGCCTGAAAGTTCATTCCAAAATATGTATTTCCAGTGAAAAGTCTCCAAAGCAATTTCCCACTTAATCTTTATGAACTTTCATAATTTACAAAAGTACTTTCATAGACACTGTCATGTTATAACCCCCAGTTATAACATGAGGAAGGGGGTGCAGAGATGCAATGTGATCGCCTATAGTTATACCCAGTTGCAAAATGGGAGATTTGGTACTAAACTCAAATTTTAGCAGTCTTAAAATTAAGACTGTTCCGCAGTCATATATTTGAGGATTAACCACAATTTTAAAAGACCATCCTCTTCCAACAAATCTGAAATTAATCTAGCTTTACTATAACATGTAGTTAGTAGGGAACCAAAAGGCAACATGCCTGGGCTATAGGAAGGGAAAAAATAGTTAACTTCTACTATTTTTAGATAAGTCATTTCTAGTAGTCAAATTTCAGTTACTTGAGATAGATTTACCAGATCATCTTTACCTTTTGTGAGCTTATGTAACAACCAGGTATCAATAGTCCCAAAGCAGCAATTTTCTTCTTCAATTGCCTTTTGCACCTTAAAATCACAACAGCACAAAATCAATTTTAAAAAGCCAAATTATTAAGTGCACGATTAAGTGCCAAACAATAAGTATAATGAAATCCCATTTATGATAAAAATTAATATACAGAGAGAAACAATTTCTAACGGTTCTAAGCAATTACTATAGGGTATGAAACCCTTTGTTTTTAAACCAAACATGTGTTACTTTAGTGATGAAAGTATATACATTTTTTAAGTTGGACATATAAATATCTCTAACTATAAATAGCCTTAAACAGGAGATGCACACAATGGCCCACAGGTCAAATCCAGCCCCTTGCCTTTTCTGTACAGCAAGTTAAGAATGGTTTTTAAATTGATTGGTTAAAAAGGAAAAGAAGACTATTTTGTGACACATGAAAAGTAGTGTATGAAATTCCAATTCCAATGTGCATATTAAAGCTTTAGTGTAACATACCATGCTTACTTGTTTATAAATTATATTGTTGCTCTGGCACTAAAATGGCAGAGTACTTGTGACAGAAACTTGTGGCTTTAAAAACCTCAAATTTTACTATCTGGCATTTTACAAAAAATATTTGCCAATCCTTATCGTAAAGCATGCCAAAGGAAACAAAAGTATCGATGAGCTAGCAGAGAAACTGAAATGCTTGTTAGGATATTATTAACATACTGGAAAATAATTCCCTAAATCGTAATATGTCACCTCTCCAACTCTTACTTGTCCCTCAAGACTAACATTTCCTAGCTTTGTTCACCCAGCACCCTAGAGATAGCTTCTATACAGCCATTATTTCACAGCCTCATTACTTCCCTGCTCGACCCCAAGCTCCTTAAGGACATTCATATTTAAAACCTCAACAACTAGGAGGGTTTCTGGAATATAGCAGATGTTTAAAGAAATGCTTGCTAAATAAATGAGATAAAAAGAATGTCAAATGAAGACATTTAAGATGAATTATATTTTAACAGAAGAATCAATAAAATGAAAATGCATATGAAGTCCAGAAAAAGAGATCATTTGTAGGTTATTTGTAACAAGTATTTTGAAGATTCCATCCATCCAAGTGTTATATCACTTAAATATGGAGTGCTTAAAATGATATTATTACATTCAAACTCTTGTTAAATTCAGAAGTTGTAATTCTAAAATTGGTTCCATATTAGACAAAGTTTAATCTGTATTTCAGTGAGTAGTATAATACCTGGCTGATAGTAAGCTCATTTGTCCATTTAAAAAATATTTGCGTCAGGCCCTCTGATAAGTCATATGCCCTTATAAGGCTAGGAGGACACAGTAGGTATCAGGGCTTTCTAAAGTAGAAGGACACAGGTCAATCCTCCTTTCATTGGGTTAAGATTCCAAATGGCACTACCCTAGGAGTAGGGCAAACTAGAAGAACAGGCTCTCACAGGAACTGTAACTCAGTTTTGAATCATCTCAATCATTAAACTGGTTTGAGATAATCCTGGAGCCTAAAAGAATGGCAAAAACAAACATAAATCATATCCAGAGCAAGATAGCATTACGTTATACACTCATAATTTCTACACACAATTTTGCAAATACAATGTAAAGCTCACGTATATATATATACATACCTACAAATAAGTAACTAGGCTCATCAATCTCATCAACTTGTATACATTGAATATGTATGCATATGTATGCTTTTTGTAAGTCAATCATACCTAAATAAATTGGTTTAAAATTTTTAAAAACCGATTAAGTAATCAGGCATAGGAGGACACAAGAGAAAAAATATATATATATGAAAGGAAAAACAGGCAACCCATGGAGGCTACAGATAGTGGAATTAATAGTTATTAATAGTTATTAATAGTTTAAAATACCATGATAATTATGTGACAAAACAATGTAGAAAAAATTAAAAACTTAATGGATGTGTTTTAATAATGCATTAGAAACATATAAAGAGAAAAATAATAGATTTGGAAGACAGATTAGAAGGAATACCCAGAATAAAGTACATAGAGAAAAAAGAATGGAAAATATGTAAAACAAAGTGGGAGACAAAGAAAATTTAGTGAGGTCTAATATATGTGTAATTGGATTTTCAGAAGGAAAGAAGATAAGAAGAATGAAGCAGAAATTACATTTGAAAATAATGTCTGAGCAATTTTCAAAATCAACAAATAATATCAAGCAATAAATTCAAGACACCCTAAAAACCCCAAGTAGATTGCCATACCTAGAAAATAGGTACAGAAAATTTGTTTGATAAATTCAACACCCACTCAAAATAAAGTCTCAGCAAACTAGAATAAGTAGATAATTTCCTTAATTTGATAAAGAGTATCTAAAGAAAATCTACTACAAATTTATACTAACTTGTGAAATGTTGAAACCTTTTATTCCAAGATAAGGAATGAGAAAAGGATGTTTATGGTCATTTCTTCTAGTCAATATATCCTAATATGAGGGTGACAGGAGCTTTGACTTTGGTTGGTCGGCACAGGGTTCTATATACAGAATTTGTAAATTAGTAATCTACACATGAAACCTCTATGTTCATTTTGTGTAATGTCACCGCAATAAAATAAAATAAAATAAAATAACCCACAAAAAACAAAAAAAATAAACAAAAAAACAAAACAAAAAAACCCCAATATATTCTAGAGGTCCTTGTCGATACCAGGAAAATAAAAGTAAACTCATATTTCTACATCATATTAGGGTTATTAGGGTATTAAAATTTAAACCAATGTTGCTGGCTGGTATGGCTCAGTTGGTTAGAGCAACATCCTGTATACCAAAAGGTTGCAGGTTTAATTACTGGTCATGGTACATATCTAGGTTTTGGGTTATATATCCATATGGGAGGCAACCAATAGATGTCTCTATCTCTGTCTCTATCTCTGTCTCTCTCCCCCCCCCTTCCTCTCTGCCCCTCCCTCAGCCTCCGCTTCCTCTAAGCATACCCTTGAGTGAGGATTAAAAAAATTAAAACAATGAGATACTACTTCACACTTATTAGAATGGCTAAAATCCAAAACACTGACATCCATGTTAGCCAGAATGTGGAACAACAGGAACTCTCTTTATTTGTAAGTAGGAATACAAAATGGTAGTCACTTTGGAAGATAATCTGGCAGTTTCTTACATAGTTTACCATATGATCCAGTAATTGCACACCTAAATATTTACCCAAATGAGTTGAAAATTAATGTTCACACAAAAACCTGCACATAAATGTTTATAGAAGCTTTGTTCATAACTGCCCAAAATGGGAAGCAACCAGATGTCCTTCAGTAGGTGACTGGATAAACAAACTGTGACATATCCAGACAATGAAATACTAATCAGTGAGAAAAAGAAATGAGTTACCAAGCCACGAAAAGACAAAGAAATCTTTAATATACATTGCTAAGTGAAAGAAGCCAGGCCCAGCCGATGTGGCTCAATGGTTGAGCGTTGACCCATGCACCAAGAAGTTACTGTTCCGATTCCGGGTCAAGGCACATGCTCAGGTTGCAGGCTCAATTCCCAATAAGGGGCATGCAGAAGGCAACAGATTGATGTTTCTCTCTCATTTATATTTCTATCTTTCGCTTCTCCCAGTCCCTGCCTCTCTCTTTAAAAAGCAATAAAAACATTACAAAAAGAAAGAAAAAAAGAAAGAAGCCAGTCTGAAAAGGGTATATACTGTACGATTCCAACAATATGATATTCTAAAAAAGGCAAAACTATATATAGAGAAAGACATTAGTGATTGCCAGGGGTTCAGGAGTGAGGGGGGAGAGAGATGAGTAAGTAAAGCACAGAAGATTTTTATGGTAGTGAAACTACTGTGTGTGATGCTGTAATGGGATATACATTACATTAATAATACTTAATAATAATGTGTCAATCTTAGTTCATCAGTTGGAACAAATGTACCACATTAATACAAGATGCTAATAATAGAAGAAATGCTGGGGAGTTGTAGATGGGAACTCTATGTACTTTCTGCTCATGTTTCTGTAAACCTAAAAATGCTCTAAAAATTAAAATCTACCAATTTATAATGGACAAAAGATTCATTCAGATTGTCTATATCTTCTTAATAGTTTCAGTAGTGTATTTATAGGAAACTTTCCATTTTACTTAGGTTAATTTGTTGGCATACACTTGTTCATATTATAGCCTAACTAGAGGCCCAGTGCATGAGATTTGTGCACTGGGGGCTGGGAGATCCCTCACCCCGGCCTGTGCCCTCTTGCAGTCTGGGACCCCTTGGGAGACGTCTGACTGCTAGCTTAGGCTCGATCTGTCGGCAGCCTTCTTGCAGTCCGAGGCTCTTGCAGTCTGGGACCCCTCGCTCCTTACCTCCCACCTGAAGCAGAGGCGGGAGAGGCTCTGGCCACTGCCACTGTGCTCGCCAGCCAGGCTCGCTGCTCCTTAGCGCTGCCTTGGAGGTGGGAGAGGCTCCCGCCACTGCACTGTGCTTGCCAGCCAGGCTTCTGGCTGAACAGCACTCCCCTTGTGGGAGCACACTGATCACCAGGGGGCAGCTCCTGGGTTGAGCATCTGCCGCCTGGTGGTCCATGCACATCATAGCAACCGGTCATTCCACTGTTTGGTCAATTTGCATATTATGCTTATACTATATAGGATTATGATTTTATTTCTGTGAGGTTGGAATTAATATTCCCTGTCATAATTTTAGTTATTTGGGTCTTCTCTAGTTTTTCCTTGTCAGTCTAGCTAATCTTTTTAAATCAGCTTTTGGTATGGTTGATTTTTTAAACTGTTTTTCTATTCTATATTTCATTAAGTTTCATTTTAATCTTTATATTTCTTTTCTTATGTGTATTTTAGATTTAACTTGTTCATCTTCTTTCAGTATCTTAAGGTAGAATTTTAGATTATTTTTGACATAATCTCTATCCTATCTAATAAAAGAGAAACATGGTAATTAGCCGTACAGCCGCTACCCTTACCATTGGCTAATCACTGAGATATGCAAATTAACTGCCAACCAAGATGGCGGCCGGCAGCCAGGCGGCTG